GAGCCTGGGATGAGTCAGGGGAAGTGGGTGGCTTCAGGCCACTCCATCAGCAGCACCAGCGGCTGGAAGACAAGAGAGGCAAAGTGCACGTGGGCCATGTGGCTCAGCCGACGCCAGACCAGTGTTCCAAAGGGGTTGTGCCAGGGCCCAGCACCAGTGTGACTGATGACCTGGCTGGCACTTTTAGCACCCACACAGGAAAAGCCAGCCAGGTGCATGTCATTGCTCCAGATCACCCAGCAAATCGCTGAGCACCAGAAAGTGCCTCGCTGCAGCTGTAATTCCCACTTGCTAACTTCCCTAAGAATGTGGAAAGATGTGGAGCCACACAGGGCACAGGCTATGCCTGGCAGGTCCCCCCGTGCAACCGGCTCTGGATCATTTACTTTGCTCCAAGCTTCCCTGCAAGCACCAGTTTAAGCATCGGGTCCTGGGGAGCCTGGGGAGTTTGTGGAGTCTCCAGCTGCCAGAACCCCTGGTGCCTTGCAGGCACCACATCGCCCTCCCATAAACTAAGATATCGGCTTCCAGCAAGATGCAGAGGGGGCAAAAACCTATTACAGGCTCCCCCAGCCACCACTCTGAGCCTGTGGATCTTATTTAAATCTAACCCTTTGGAAAATTAAATCTGTGCTTAGGAGCAGATGGTGTCTTCTCTTTTAGGAGAGCATTTATTCTCATGCTAAAAAAGGTCTTTGCTTAAAGAGAATGAAAAAATCAGACACTATCTGTGTGCCACATATAACCTCGCTGCACAATCTAGCGGCAGACACCATGACTCCCCGACTCCCAGGCTTGTCCCACGGAGAAGGTTTGCTAGCCCAGGGAAGGTGTGAGGGTGGGATCCACTCTATACCTGCCCAGTGAGTTCCCATGCACTGCTGGGACCCAGCTGGGCAGAGCAGCCTGCACCAGCATAGCTCAGCTGAGCGGTCCACGCTCAGTCCAAGACCCTAGAGATGGAAAAAAAATGGACAGTGCCTTCAATAAAGTTATGGCAAGGCAGCTCCGCCCTCACCTGCCCCTTGCACGAAGCACCCCTGCCTAAAGGAGCTTTGTACCCAGGCACAGGGCTGTTCAGCTGCTGCTGTGGCTCGGGCTGCCCGTCCTGCCACGCTTGGTCTCTTGCACACTGACAGCCACCCAGGACTCAGAAGATCTTGTTTATCCTATCCAGAGCAAACCAAGCCCATTTTAAAAACTACTTCAGCCTACGCAGTGTTAAAAGAATTAAAGCTATTTTGGTTTTCTTGTTGTATAAACACAGGAGGTTCCTGGTACCCTCTGGCCAGTTCTGCACTCTGCTCAACACTCGCGTTTTTGAGGCCTTATAGCACATCACGCGCTGGACCATACACCGCAATAAACCTGGGTGTGAAGCCATCAGCCCTGAGCTGTGTGTGATCCCCACTCCACGCCAGCCCGGGAGGGGCTGAGTCCTCCTAGGGCCATGGTAAAGAAGTTCCCTCCTCAGCTGCTGTGTAGGAAGAGAAAGGAAAAGAAACAACCCGACGTGGAAGAGAAATAACCCGACAAGTGAACACGCTCTGCTGAGGGACTCGCTTGACAAGGCTCTTTCTGCATCACGGAAAATAAACCTGAGATGACACAGATCAATGGGAAAGTATCAAGATAGAGGGAGGGAAGAGATTCTCCGTGTAGCTCGAAGGAGGCAGGCATGCAGTGGTGAGGGGAGGGGGTGACATCTCTCAGCCCAGCTTGACATAAGTGATGAAAGGAAACCATGTGTTCCAGTTCTGCCTCATGAAGCATCCTTAAAACAAGTGCCTTCTACACAGGGCTAAGCCTTCTTGGGTTTTTCAAGCCATCTGTTGAATAAAGAGACATTTGTGCATTCCCCCCCCCACCGTTACACAGCAGCGAGGGTTTGAGTCCTAGCAACAGGAAAGGAAGCAAGCACCAAGGGCAGGGAGACAATGGCTCATGAGTATCCAGTACTGGGGGATTAAGTGAAGAGGCTGAGGCAGGTTAAAAGTTCCCTTTCAAAAGGAAAACTAGGGTGGTAGTTTCCACCACAGAAGAGATTCCCAGCTAGCTCCTGGGGACACCAAGGCTGAGTGTCACCCCTACTTCTGAGACCCAGCCTTATTTCCATCTTTGCTCAGACACCTTTGCTTCAGGATGCTCCCAGAGATGGGACTGTAGGTTCCTGCTGGCAAAAAGCAGCCCCTGGATCAGTCCTCCTGAAAGGAGCCAGGACTGAGACACAACCACCGCGACTGGTGTTTTTTGCCTACAAATAAAACACACGCAACTCCCCCAAGATGCCGTGCCAGGTCTCCAAGGAAGACTAGCCTCCAGACTGGCTTCCAGCAATCGGTGTGGCATGCCGGGGTTAATTGTAGCTCTCTGCTCTGAAAAAGAGGAACCTTAATACTGATTAGCATTACAGCTTAGCGAGGGATCTTAGAAATGGTTACTCTCACATCCTGGCAAGCAAGCGGCGTGAGAGTTCTCTAATTGTCAAGCGTTCAAATATTGTTATGAGGGATTAAATCGCTTCAGGGGCAGCTTGAAGCCATCCACCGGTACTGCTGGCAGCACTCCAGCTGGCTCCCCATGGCCCGGGAGCCCGTGCTGCCGGGGCTCTGTGGCCGGCTGATGGATTATCAGCTGTTTAAAAAGGTGTGGAATGTAAGCAAAGCTGCTGCTGTCGGGTTGTGTGTGTCCCCTGGCCTCAGCGGCTTCCCTGCTGCTCACTAACAGAGGTGTGTCTGTAACCCCTTCCCACGTGGGGGTACAAGACTGAATCTCTTTCCCATGCGGAGACCGCAGCCTTCCAGACTTCTACCTTGCTGCCCCATCTCCCTGAAAGTGGCCAACAGATCTGAAAGTGGTTCGTGGGGTCAAGAGGCAACACGATCCTTGTTTTCTTGGGAAACCATGCTACGGAGAGGAGGTGACAGGGATGGCAGCTAACGGAAATGTTGATTTTAGACATCAGCAATCTTGGTCGTCCTGTTCCATGCAGGCAAGGCAAGTGAGATCTCACGGAGATAGCGGGGCACAGGGAAGCTGAGCAAACACTGACTTTCTGAGCAGCTGCACGAAAGATTTCCAACACATGTTGCTAAGGGTTTTAGATGGTAAATTCAGGGCAGCTTTGCAGGCAGCTGCTCTAAGTAACAACACTGCAGGACTGCAATCTATGCACTGGGCTTCCTTGTGATGCCCATGTCTTGTGGCGAATGGGATTGACCTCCTTTCCTTCAGATACATCCTGCAAGGAGCGGTGAGGGCTAGTGCCTGTGGTCAGTACTGGCTTGGTCCCCAAAGGGATGGAGCTCATGCAACATCCCTGCCTCCCCTGCAATTTTTTTAGCTCATTGCTGTTTCTCAACCAGATCTGACAAAAAGGCAGCGACCTGAAAGAGCATGAATCTTTCTAAATTTTCTAAACCGGTGGTGCAGCAGAGCAGAGAGACTCCTGTGAACAGCCAGCAGGCAGGGAAGGATGCTGCAGGAGCAAAACCAGTGTTGTTCCTCTAAGACCCTCTCCCCACCCCATTGGCACTGATTTTTTTGGAAGCGGCCACAAAGTGCAGGGCCTCTTTCCTAGCTGTTAATCCGGAGATGGTGTTAATCAACAATGGGGACCAAGTTATTAACAAGGAGAACCTCATGGTTATCCTTCCACCACACACCGATGGTGTGTCTCCTGCTAACCAGCCCATCTTCTTCCTCCTCCTCACCGGCACGTTCTCGCTGCAACAGCGGCGAGGACTCATACTTTGGTGGCCAAGGGCTCTGCTTCCCTGGGATGTCAGAGCAGAAATGCTTGTCTGACTTTGGTCAGGGCAGCAGCACCTTTAGGATGAAAGCTGCTTTTACACAGAACTTAATGGGAGAACCATACTGCTCTAAAAATGCCAAACATCAGATTCCCAGTGGGATGCACAGGTAAAAGTTCATCTCTGATCTGTGATATGCCAACATGAAAAGAAGCAAATTTTAAAGAGAATGCCCTTTCTACATCTAAATAGGTAATACCAGCCTGAAATTAGTGATGTTTTGATCCTTCACTCATACTGGTTTTCTAGATTTTCTAGTCCTAATGAGAAAAGGACATTTTTTTTCACTTTCCTGCTTGGCAAACAGTCTTTCTGGAAAGCAAAACAAAATACATTTATACTGGATATGAGAGATGAGTTTTCCATTAGCTTATTAAGGATATAGTGCTTTTCTTATTATGACTTGCTTTTAAAGCAAACCTTGATGTCCTTCTGAAGGATATTCTCTTGCTCAGACAAAGGTGAAAGTTTCATATAAGAATGTCTGGAGGAAATTTTACAGGCAGGGTTATGCTAGAGGATCGTAACAGTCCTCATATTTAAATTAATTTATGACCCGCTCTATGGATGCTATAGCCCTTAAGCTTATACACATTTCCTTTTAATCTCCCTCCTTTATCACATACTTTGGGTCTTACCCTGCTTCCGTTAATGGAGAGCGGTAGAAAGGTGGGAGATGAATTTACATAATTTATGTCCCTGGTTTACTTGAGGTGCGCTGCCAAGTTTATATTTAACAATATAGGCATCCACGCCTAACAAGACAGCAGTCAATTTTTCACTTGTACGTTGACCTTTCCTTCCCTCCCTTTAGGCATTATTAACTCAGCTCTATCAATACCAGGCTGCTTATGATTAGGACCATTATTCCCATTTGTTGATCAATAAACCTCCCGCCTTTGTTAGCAGCAGACCTTCAGGTTTCTGCAGCCGCGTCTCCTTCCTTAGGGTGTGAGCAGCCGCCGCTGTTCACCCAGCATTGAATGCCCTCCTTGTTCTCCACATGGTCCCACAAAAGGTCACAGCAGACGGAAAGGGACCTCTGAAGCCTGCAAACGTGTCGGTGTCCCCTTCTCTCCGCTTCAGTGGTGATGCTACATCCCCTTGCAGCGATGCTGTGTGCCGGGGAGGGCACAGGTCCAGCCGACATCCCCCCGTCTCGCTGCAGCTGCCACCCTGGCCGGCTTTCATCTCCCCGAGGGCTACTCAAAGGGGTTGTGCTTTTCCCTGTGGGATTTCTAACAACCAGA